GGGGGGGGGGGGGGACTGCAGTAACTCATCCAATTTATCCTGCCCTGCACGTCATATCATATTATCGTTGCTCATTTATGGTTCAGTCGGTGCTTTTAATAAATGATGGTGTTTTAATTGCATGAAACCGTCTCGGCTTCTATTTGACTGCTTTTTTTGTAAAAGAGAACAACGTGGATCCGTATTCACTCTGATTCACTTCCCTCCCTTTGCCTCTGAACACTGAAATGCCACGGGAGTTAAATTTCTGCGAAATTGTTGTTGTTTATCACAGAAGTCAATCTTGACTTGCCAGCAAGTGAGTGACAGGCTTGTATAAGCAGCCTTTAAAAGCTCGGGGGAGGGACGGGGATATGACAAGAATATGCGATAAGCCTGTCGGTGAAACAAGCATATCTATCAAATCAATACGCGTGTGTGTGTGTGTGTGTGTGTGTGTGTGTAAATGCATCTAAGCCCCTGTATTGATTGGTTGCAGTTATTTTTCTCTCTTTTTTTGAGGGTCTTATTTTTTAACTGACAGTTCTAATGAAAGAACCTGGTTAGAGGTTCCACAATTTATTATCTCTTGAGTGACAAACTGATTTAAATCAGACAGTTTAACAACCCAATCTATCAACTCCATACTGGTGTGTGTCTGTGTGTGTGTGTGATAACACAGATTAGTGTAATGAGCATCAGGTACACATGATCCAACACGGCTCTGCTGCCTCGTCTCCTTTCCCCTCACATGACAAATGTCACCGTCAGGGTCTTTGGGGGTAAATTTAAGGTTTTCCATCGAGGGCCAACAGATCCGACCTGCTGCTCTGCCTCTGTTTGATCTCCGACTTTAGCAGCAGGGCTTTTGGGGAGCCGATGTTAAAGCGTTACTACCCCTTAGTGGTGGAAGTTATAGCCTCAAATACTACGGAAGTCAACTCTGTGTCGATATTTCGGGTGGAGCTTTACATTGTGAGAACTTAGTGTTCTTTTTTTTATGTACTTGGTGGTACCCAACCTTTTCCCCTACAGCTATATCAGATGAACTCACTGACACCGCCCTCCTGCTCCAAAAAATGATGGAATTTAAGGCAAGGCAAGTTTATTTGTATAGCACATTTCAACAAGGCAATTCAAAGTGCTTCACATAAAACCATTAAAAGCATCAAAACACAAGGCAAAAACAAAGGAGGTTTAAAAACAATTAAGAACATTCATTGAAACATTAAAAACAGTCATTAAAACATTAAAAAGCAGTGTAAGAAATAAAACACAGTAGTGAAGATGAATGCATGGACAAGTTTTTCCACATCCTGTTGAGACAGAAGTCCTCTAATCCTTGATATATTCTTCATGTGATAGGAGGCTGATTTTGTAATAGTCTTGATAGTTCAGGTTGAGGTCTGAATCCATAACTACACCTAGATTTCTGGCTTGGTTTGTGGTTTTTAACATCAGTGACTTTCAATCGTTCGTCCAGTTGTTGATTTGTTCAATGCATTTACCCATCCCCTGTATGGGATTATAGTCCCCTGGTGATATAGTTATATAGATGTGTGTGTCGTCTGCATAATCATGATAACACACTTTGTTGTTTTCCATAATCTGAGCAAGTGGAAGCATATAGATGTTGAACAGAAGAGGCAGTTGCCCAAACACAAAACCTGCTACTTGTGGCACAATTATTGAAACCAGTAACTCATCAATCTATTGACAAAGTCTCGTAAACCAAGAGCCTGTAAAATACGAAAACACCTGTTACCATTCAGATCGCTTAGAAACCAGGGTGTGAAAGCTATAAATAGGGTTGAAGTTTGAGAGAGAGAGAGAGAGAGAGAGAGAGAGAGAGAGAGAGAGAGAGAG